GAAGTGAACGGTTGGACCGTTTGGTACGAGAGGTTCGGTTCGGGACCCAAACCGGTACTTCTTTTATCGGGTGCTATCGGTATGTTATAAAGTTTATAATATAATATAAATACTATTGAATTTTTGTATTAAAGTATTGAAATTTTGAAACGACAAAACTATTATAAATTAATTGATTAAAATTAAGTTTTATTATATTTTTAATTAATAAATATATAATGTATTGTGATAAGTTTTATCCGAGTAGTTTTATCCGAGTAGTTTTATCTGAGTAGTTTTATCCGAGTAGTTTTATCCGAGTAGTTTATCCGAGTAGTTTCCGAGATGCACTAATAGTATTAAATAAAAATCAGTAAAAACATTGTTTAAATAAATATTTCCCCCCTTAATATAAGGCACTGGAAGAACTGATTTTATGCCACAACTGGAAGGCGAATATGCGCTGGACTTTGAAAAGTTTACAATAATAGCGGTGGAGGCGCCCGGTTGGGGACGATCGCGACCACCCGTACGCAAGTATGGCATCAATACGTATAATAACGACGCCCAGTGTTTTCACGCAGTTATGGGGGTATTATTCACATCTATTACAATTGATGGCATTATTTACAAATATGCTTTTACTCAGTGTCTGGGATATGAGAGATATTCAATAATCGGGTGGTCAGACGGGGCGAAAGTGGCGCTCCTGATGGCTGTGCAGTACTCGCAGTGCGTGGAGTCAATGGTGTTGACCGCTATCTCCACGTATGTCAGCGATAGTTGTCTCAAGTTTTTCAAAAGCGCTCAAAATATCGAGTGTTGGGGCGAAGAGAAAGTGAACGCATATCTCAAGTGTTACGAAACGAAGACTGAAATACAAAACCTGTGGAACCGTTTCGTGAGATTCGCTGAGTTTTATAATCAATATTTTCCCGAAGATATGTATAAAAATCGATACCATTTGATTCAATTCCCGGTCCTTGTATTGCACGGCCAAAGGGTTAGTCACTTTACTTAGTCAAAGTAAATCTATAGCAATACAACCAGTAATTGTAATTTTTGTTTACCATAGAAAATATCAATACATAATTTTAAATTTAAGATGATTTTATCACAATTTTTCAGTTAATTAAAAGCAGGACTTCTCAAAAAATAGACTTTGTCCATATGCTCCGATAAACAATATATTATAATTTTGCCCACAAAAACATTGATTTAAAGTAAAATTTTACAATTGTTTTATAAATTACTATATTTTTATACTTATTATCATGTAGATTTAAAAATAAGATAGTAATAATGTCTATTGTATTTCAGGACCCAATGATTGATGATGGTCAACCATTGAATGTTTGTCGTAACATTAAAAACGCTCGGTTGGAGTTATTCAGTACGGGTTCTCATGATTTGCATCAAAAGTTTCCGTCAACTTTCAAGAAACTTACGGAACAACACTTATTGAAATAATAAATACACTCTGCCATGCTTAATTAATTGCAAAACAATTAAATATATTAAATAAATAAAAACTAACAATTAGTAAAATTTTTTAGATGTAATTATTAATTAAATTCTTATTGTTTAATGATAACTTTAGAAATATAAAATCTGAGATTTTTAAAAATTTAAATGTTGTTTAAATACGAATAAAATAAATATGAATATAAGCAGTTTTTACATACCATTAAATTATCACATCTTAAATAAATTACTTCATTTGATTTGAGGAAATGAAACGTTTTTATTATTATTATTTGTATTGATTTTTATACATACAAAGATGTGAATAAAATCTATAACGAATGGCTTTAAACCCAATTTTGAATAACCATCACAAAAGAAATCTTATAAAAACATTTAAAATTAACAAATGCTTCAAAAAACATTTGTTTTGAGATTTATTGTCATAGATTTGCTCCCTATTTAAACTGAGCGTTTGGTTTATTTTATAAATTTTTAAAAATTTTGAGTAACTTTTAAATTTAAAAATATTAGTTAATATATACAAAGAATATATTATATTATAATAATAATAATTATAATTCAATTTCAAGTGATATCTAAAGAGTCTACGGGAATATCAGCTGTTAATCCGGTAATTTGTTTTTAGTTTTAATTTTATGATTAAATGTAGTTTAAATTTAAACTATTTACTTACTTGTTAGTAATACGTGCTTAATATATTGTAACGCCTTATTTAACTGAATAAGTATCTATAAATATCCAATTAGATTATATATAAAACTATAATATAAAGTGAGAGAAAACTTAGGCATAAACAAAGAATTCATAATAAAGTATAATTATAATTAAAGGTTTGATCATAATACTAAAATTACAACTTGATAAAACTAAATCTAAAGTTGTAATATTACAAAATTATTACAATCTCATTAAACATGAATTGAAGGCTATTTTTGATTACAGCACTTAAGGTAACGATTAGGCAGTGATTGAGTATCAGTAAAATATTTTGGATTAATATCTTTTATAAAAAATAATAATTTAATGGATTTATATATTTTATTTTTATTATTTAAACAAAGAAAATCTTATATAAAAGATAGATAACAACTGTTTGAAAATTTTATTGTCAGTCAAACGAGATTCAGAGAATAAATTCAATATTAATTAAATTTATTTGATATCTAAGTCAGGTAATATAGATTTACTTTATATTATTAAATAATTTTACATTTTGATTTATTAATAAATATGTTTAATCTATATTTTAATAAATTGAATTAAATGTGACTTCACACGATATAATTAATTATCTTAAATTTTTAACAACAATTATGTTTTATTTTTGATTAATTTGCTCTATGATAAATGATATTAATTAATATTAATTATAAATTGAATTCAAGAATGATTTGTGAGATCATAAAATAATTATTGATAATAATTTATTTTTAAATAAATTTAAAAGTAATCTATTTTTAAGTCTTTTGTTGTGTAATAATTTACATACTTATATTTTTATAAAATAATTGTTTTCTGCGCCTATTGGTTTAACATTATCATTTTAATTCTCATAATCAAATAGTTTTTATTATGTAAATACTTCATAAGGTTTTTGAATAAATTGCATAAATAAATCATTAGATTCATTATATGTGATCCACGGACTAATCAATCAGAGAAAAATAATTGCATTTTTAAAATGTAAGTGGTCATTTTGTTGTCATATAAAATCAATATTATTACCATATATTTCTTTATAAATTTCTATACTTATTATGATCATTAAGATATCGTTAAAAGGTTTCCTTAATATATGAATTATAATAATATTAGAAAATTCATATAGAATTCAAAGTAAAAGTAAATATATTATAGTTTTTAAACACCACAAGAGATAAATATTGTTTATTTAATATTTAATTCATGTCGACAGCCCTAGATCTTTGGATATATACTATGCATTAAATAATAAAATAAATATGAACAAGAACAATTTTGACCTCATAACGTCTATCACATCATAAAGAAAATAATTTTCAAATTGACATTGAGGAAATGAAAAGTATTTATTTGATATGTTAATAGCATATATGGAGATGTGTTTAAAATAAATGATAAATTGATTTTAACTGCAGTTTTATATAAATCATAACAAATATTAAACAAAAAAAAATAAGATAAATAATTGGCACAAATGAATTGTATTCTTAATTATTAAAGGTTTTTCGTGATTTGGAAAGAAATATAATGATTTAAACTTTAATAAATCACGATTTTACAAAAGTTTATACATACAACTTAATTTTACTGTATTAGAGAATTTTTTGTTTACACACTTTTTCATAATTTTTCAATTGTTTATAAATTATAATCAATTAGTGATTGGTGTCTGAGATGTCTGACTGTGAGAATGATTTGTTGGGCACGTCTTCGTCGGTATTAGTAAACGGTTGGACAGTTTGGTACGAGAAGTTTGGTTCGGGACCCAAACCTGTGCTCCTTATTTCGGGTGCTATGGGTATTGAATTTTTATGATCTATTACTTCTGTTTGCAGTTTATTTATAAGCATTTGTTTGATAATAATTATAAATATTAAATTAAAAACATGAGGCACCGGACGGACCGATTATATGCCACAACTGGATGGCGAACATGAGCTGGACTTTGAAAAGTTCACTATAATAGCGGTGGAGGCGCCCGGTTGGGGACGATCGCGACCACCGATGCGCAAGTACTGCACTAATGTCTACAATAACGACGCCCAGTGTTTTCAGGCCGTTATGCAGGTATTATAAACTTATTGTCAAAATTATATGCAAACAATTGTTTTGCTCAGAGTCTGGGATACGAGAGGTATTCAATAATCGGATGGTCAGACGGGGCCAAAGTGGCGCTCCTGATGGCTGTCCAGTACTCCCAGTGCGTGGAATCACTGGTGTTGACCGGCATCTCAACGCATATCACCGATCGGTGCCTAAGATTTTTTAGGAGCGCACAAAATATCGGCTGTTGGGGTAAACACAAAGTGAACGCATATCTCAAGTGTTATGAATCTAATAGGTATAATTGAATTTGAGTTGCGGTCCGCCATTCGGCACTGGTTTGCCGTCTTGAGTGACCACTTTGACGACACACGTGTTTTTCAGTCCTGGTTTGAATGTCTCGGACGGCTTAATCACGTCAAACCGCACATCAGTTTCGTATACCTCCACTGTATTGGATCCGATGAACTGCTTTCCGGTCGCCGTTTCAGTTACTCGTGCCGTGAATACCATTTTAATGTCAGAGTCGAGAGAGGGTCGTTGGTCCACTTTTACGGGGACAATCAGTCCAGCGCTACCGTAAATCCAAGCCATTGTCCGGAATAAATCTATAAGTGAGACAAAAAATAATGACATTAGGGTAATAATATATACCGTATGTACATAATAATATTAATATATAAATATAAATTATTTATAATAAATCTATACATTTAATAAAAAATTGAAAATAATGTGTCATTTCACTGAAATCTATAGTTTGAACAAAAAATATATCAAAACAATTCTTGTATTAAAAATATATTCACACAATAGAGCTATGCTAACAATGACAGCAATTCTTTAACTATTTATAATATTTATATACGCTTACAAACTTATAACTGATTTACAAGAAACATATGACTAAATTGACATAAAATTAATTTCCAAATGATTGTAAAATAAACTTATGTTTTTTAAATTAATTTAAAATTACTGAAAGTTTCACAATTATTTGAAACGTCAGACTCCTTCCTGTCTACCGACTAAAATTGCCAACTCTAATTGACCTGCGCCTTAAAAAATCTATAATATCTCTATAAACCTATGACACGGCCCACAAGTCGTTTTATTGAATATAGTTTGTGGTATACCGTAAATAATGGTCTCAATTAATGTAAGATTTTGTATATAACATACCATTACAAATATATTACCTATTGGTAGAATAGTGTATTCGGTAAATTTAACAAGTTTAAACAAAACACGTGATCTGCGGCACAATAGCCACACGTGTTGTCTATCTATGAGTCCAATGCGTGCGGGAGTTATATAACCGGCGATCATATCAAACACCGATAGAAATGTTGGTTTTATATCATTTTTATAGTTATAGTAAAACAATATACGAAACAGTAAAATCATAATGACATATAAAGTAGGAGAAATATTTACATGGATTGGAATGTTTAAGAAATATACCAAATCACAAAATATTATTTTAAATTTATAATTATTTTGTGAAACAAATAGTGTTACAAATATTAATTGAGTCAATGCTAGCGATAGAATAGTATTAATTATAAATGGCTTATGAATTAGTGATCTTTTTGTTGTGCTCTCATATGGACTACACGTATAACACAAACCTATTTTATACAATCGATTGCTCGCCGATAGAGTGACCAACTCTATAGGTATTATACCATTCAGTTTTATAGCATTCATATTATATACATTTATATATATGATATTTAAATATTCACTAATAAATGGTTCAAATCTTTCAAATTGTACATGTCATGTTACTCTTAGTTATATATTGTAAGACATACTACGTGTATGAACAACCACGTTTTAATTATTTAAAATGGATTTAATAAATTGCCAAATAAGTATGTTTAGTTTTTATTGTTTATGCACTTTATTTGTAAAGTTAATATTTAATATATTTATGATTAAATATTGACTCTTTACTACCATATACAGAATTGAATTGAATTTATTAATAAATGCACCATATGTTTTTAAAATGAATTTTTAATTATAATTTAAAGTTAAACTAATATTTAATATTAATTCAAACTTGTTTACAGCAAAAACTAGAATTGTAATTTATAGATACAGGTAATTTCTCTTTCAAGAAGTTTACTTTTCATAATAAATTGTAACAGGAACCTTTGCTGATCGTGATATTTAGTAATAATTTTTTTAATTTACATTTTACACGTAACTTAAAATTTAATATTTAAATAAAACCCATTATAAGTAAATAATTTAAACCAAATATATAAACGTATTGAAACAACTCATAGTTATTCATAGGAAACAGATTATAGCAATAGAAACCAATGTCCGGTCCGGACAACTGCTCGGCCAATGTCTGCACCCGTAGTCTATTGCTTACGGGAAGTGTCGGGAATTTAACTAAATATGTAAACAATAATTTCCGGGGTTTATGAGCCGCTCTGGATATCCAAGTGCTCATCACATTCATACCCAATACGGCTGAATAACAAATAACAGTTATGGTTGCGGCGAATACCCGGCCATAAAAGTGAGTGTCCCTGTGATGTATGCAATATATCACGAGCTGATATCCAGGGGTCGCCATATAGTAGATGATAAACACAGAGAACCGGAAAGTGATGTTTATATCTCTGGTCAGTCTAACGAGTGAATTGTGTTCGCATAGGATTTGTATCAGTTTTTCAAAATTTGTCTTATCATAAGTTATACCACGTTTTATATGCAATACTAATTTATCGGATACTTCGATAAACTTATACTTAAGAAATAAAGCGCATGCGTACCAGTAGCTGAACCCGCAAAACACTACTCCATACGCTTGAATGCAAAATACAAATAATACCCAAAACCAAAACAAAGTACCGATTATTGTGAAAGTAAACCCTGGGTCATTAAATGCCAAATATGTGGCATAAATGTCTATCATAAGTGTGGTCGCTATCATAAGTAAAGTAGCCTGGTCAATTACATATCTGGATATAACGTTTAACCTGATTGTATATCGTTTCATATTGATTGAGTTTAACGGGTATTTCAATAATCTATATTTTAATTGATATATGAGTTTAAATGCATGCAAAGTATTATTCAAATCCTGGAGATTAATAGTGATTAAGAATACGGCAAACGATAAGATTGATATGAATCCGGAGGCCATCATAGGGTTGGCCACAGTATATGTGGGGTCCTCCACAAAATTATTGACCCATGGCTTAAAATAAAAATGATGGATGATTAATATATTTTAATTATATAAAAATTATTAGAAATGAACTTATAAGAAATGCGATTGGTTGATTTTATTTTATACAATATCTAAAATTAATATTATTAAATCTATACTCACTTTCCTGATTATAGCCGTTAATCCAAATCTAATGCCATTTAATAGACACATAACACGGGCTAATGTGACCAAAACGAGTCGCCGTGGGCTCCGGTGTGGGCCAGACATGTATTCATCGCAATCCCTGACCGCAAATAGCATACATAGTCTACTCGACCGCTCTATACCTACAATACCAGCTTTAATATCATCGCTTATGAGATGATAATCGTGTAAATTATTTCTCATGTTTGAGAATCTGTGTGAATTAGCACTCGGTATTGGCATGAAATTCATGGTCACACTATTTTTAACTTTAATATTTAATTTAACTTAGAAAATTAATTTCAAAATTTATATAATGGTTATTATATAATAGGGCAGTCAAGTGATTCCGACCGTGCGGTAATTGATTTCATTTTTAAACTAAATGAGATAATTTAATTCTGTAAAATGGATATAAGAGCCTCATATACTGCGCATCTGCAGATTACCTTATTATAAATATAGGTCACGTGGTTTATTTAATAATATATACATTCGGAATGGTCATATTACAGGTCAAACCATAAGAAATATAGAGATGGTCCCCATGGGTAATTTGTAAAGGGATAAATTCTGCACACAATAAAATAAGAATTACTAAAATCTGACCAATATTATAGATTTTATAGCTCAACAAAGACAAGCCTTTCGTAATGCTAATCCTATGGGCAAATTTCAAGTAAGAAATATTGAGATGGTCCCAATACAAAATAGTTAGAGCAAATAATTGTGTATAATATTAAAAAAGAATTATCAAAATCTGACATGTATTTTAGGTTTTATGAACAAAAGAGTGATGGTATTTTATAATAATACGAATATTTTCAAAATGTTTGAAATAAAATATTTTAAATAGTATTGGATTTAATGTAAATTACAAAATGTATTAGTAATTATTATGCTTATTTTTTATTATAATCTGTTTGTTAAATGAATATAAAGTATATTTATGAGATATGTCGTTTATAAAGACAATCACTCTTTTGTTGATAAATCCTAAAATACATGTCAGATTTTGATAATTCTTTTTTAATATTATACACAATTATTTGCTTTAATTATTTTGTATTGG